GCTCCATCAGCACACAAACAGTTGCAGAATGACTGGCGACAGATTATGTGTGAACACCAAAACGATAGTGTAAACACGTTGAATCAACTTTGGTTGAATAAAACGGGTGAGGGTACATAGGTTAAATTTATCAGCCACATTAGGCGGATAAGAAAAAAAGAAGCGATTCTCCCAAACCGATTGGTATGTTAGAAGCGCGACGACAGTTAACAAACAGCATACCTTACGATTTATTTGAGGTGAAGCCAGATGCTTGGCCCAGCGGCGTAGAACCTTCTCGCATTCGGTTTCACAAAGCATGCACTGAAAAAGTGGAATAAATCATACGGTAACGAGCAGCAGGATCACGGAACAGCAGAATGCGGGATTAAGTCACATCGCGTTATGTCTTTATGGTGAGGGAAAGTGAAACGAATACGGGGGAAAGAACAAATCGAACGGATATGGAAAATGGACAACGCATCTGACCTCTGATTTCATCTATTTGCCCAGATACTTTGAGAACCGTACTGGTACTACTGTTGTGGTTGTTGACGTTCTACTTACAAACGGATTGGGGTGAATAGCTACTTGGTCCCTCTGGATCTAAACCGCAAACGGAACGGATTATTATAAGTGGATCACTTGCAGAGGAGGCACACTAGCTGAGATCATACAAAGAAGATTATCCGACGCAATCAATACCACTTGCTATGCATTCAAGCTTCGTATGTTGTTCACGTCCAAGCCAATTGAGTTTACGCATGAAGGACGATGTTCCCCACTCCCGGTCTCATTCTGTGAATAGTCATTTACTTGCTCCTGTGGAACAATGTACATGAGCCGCACGGTAAGACAATAGTCCGAAGGGATTCGTGAACATCACCCTGCGTGGATGAAGACTGAAACGATTAAGTCATTCACCAGTGCAGTCAAGGGTGGCCAAACTAAGACCTGGCACGAGGGTATGAAATCCCTGACCAGGGGACTGGGTCACATAGGTCCCATTAGGCTCCCTGGATGGGGACCCCGAGGTGATGGTCACCGACGGTTAGAGACACTGAACAATATGGCTGGGTGTCAGTAACAGTGGCGTTCTTGCATCTTCTCAATTTCTTTGCAGCCATAGTTTACCTGAGTTTTCAATTTTCTCTTCGATTACACCTTTAAATTTCCTGTTCTTCTCCTATTATTCATCCAAATGGGCAGCCGAAACCGGCGCACGAAAGTGCACGGTTAATGGTTGTTCAAACTGAAACTGAGTGCATTGGTTCCAAACCTGGCTAAAATAAATCACCTTGTGGACGTTTCCGGGGCTAACCGCTCCCTGTACCAAGTTTGTGGGTGATTATCGAGGCAGGTTAGCTATCGGATGCTGGCCACAACAGAAGCGGTGGGCATCCAACTGCACAACCCCCTCTCCCCGTCTGTGTTATGCTTCCACCGCTCTCCCCCCCCCCCNGTGGACGAACAACTATCTGATTGTGGTAAATCCGACGTCCGGCCTCATGAAGTCGTTTCTAGTAATCCGTCATGTCATTTTATTTTCCCAAGACAATTTTATTCCCAAGTAGTGATATATATTGGGATGTGGACAAAGTATTGAAAATCGGTTCTCGTAGCTCGGGTGAACTGAATTCCATTTCGCCAAGCTCGATGAACAGGCGAAATGGAATATTAAGATGTATTGGTGGGAATACGAAACTCTGAAAACGAGCTTGTTCGCCACTCATTTGCAATTTATTCGATGAGCTTCATTTGAAAAGAAATGAGGCAAATACGGTGCCCCTGGGGTAGATTAAAACTGGACAGGCACAGCCCACGCCCAAACAGCGAACGCGACTGTTTTGTTCCGCAGTTGCTGTTCGTCAAGATGGTTGTGTTCACTCATCAACGCCGGAATCAACAGCAATATCGGGGAAATCGTGAGGAATTGAAAAAAATGAGGAGAAGCAAACTGTGAGCGTTTTCCCGTTTCTCTCGGAATGCCACATTGCAACGACACACGGATCGCAAGTGTCGCTGGCCCGTTTCACTGTGCCACTGTCATTCGTCAAACAACCGTCTCGGTATGCGGAACGATCGAGGCCGGTTGTTTGCAGGCTTCTCAGAAAGCGAGTCAAGGATTGTTTTTACAAGAGCGTAGGTGCATCGACATGTAGGAAATTATGGATTAATGAAAGTTCTGATTCACGAGAAAATGGTAAGGCGTGGTGTGTATTGTGGTCTGCAGTCAAGTGAAACGTTTACCGCAAATCACATGATTGACTGTTGCGGCAAGCCACCACACGAACGTATGCACGTCACGCGGACTCACACTTTTACAAGGACGATCCGCCTCAGTGAATCAGAGGTCAGTATTGACCTGTCCGCATTGACTGTTCAGCGTGACGACATTCTCCTTTTGGCAACGCTTGTGTCAGTTTGGCCTGCCTGCCTGTTGACGCACTGCTTGCTCACCGGCCTACGGACAAGCTACATTTACACTTACATACTGGAAGTAGAATAACTGGTTAATTCAACGATAGAGTACATATTGACTCCTACAGGATATGTACAACAATGTGCACACAAAAACAGTGCAAATCGTACATCCGGTCCGTACAAGAACATTGACAGATACATGAAAACATTTTGTTCATGGAAAATTGAACAGAACTGGGAAAACGAAAAAAAAACAGACGGGATATAAAAATAGTACGACTCTCGGAAAAAATGTTCATTTCACCGTCGACTTAACTTCGATCAAAGGACTAAGGGAATAGCAAACTAGGCTGCCACAGTTGCGAGACACCACCGAAGTCCATGTTGAATCATGAATTGCATTGTGTACACAAGCTCATCAAAAATAGAGTTCTACACTCATAATGGGTTGAGGAAAACGTTGCTACTGCAAACCGGTGTGTGTGTGTGTGTGTGTGTG